CTCAAGGAATCACACCTTCTATTTGCTACTACTCCCAACAGGTTCAAATATCACCAGATATATATATATATAAAAGAAAAAAATCTGAACAATATTTCCTAGAAAATTAGAGAAAAGGTTTGATTTTCAGTGTTCAATGTTAATTTGGTGCACAACTTATCATTAATGTAATGAAACTGCTCCTTCGTTCATAACTTCTACAGGACAAAGTTCCCTAAATCTGTGTCAGTGCAAAGGGCAATGAGAGGGTTGTAAAAATGATTTTGGCAGCTACAACGTCTGTGGTAGTTAACAGGAGTAAAAAATACAGTCCCCAACATAAATGGACTGTAGGTGAGATCCCTGCCGTTTCACCGAACAAAACGATATCTGCAGCTTGTTCCAATATGGCCTTGGCTAAAATACGCTCTCACGCTGGCACACGTCTAAACAATAAGCTCCTTCGTTGAGTGTCTGAGCCTGTGAAGTGTTTGTCCTTGGGTGTTTTTGTGTGAGCACAGTCCTTTGATCGTTTTATAAAATCCTCATGTTGACGAATCAAACTCGAAAGGAAGCAGTGAAAACTTCTTAGAATTTAAAACCTGTGTCTTTAACACTCGTCGCTGTAGTTGCTATCAAGCGAATAAGGACGGATTCTTCAAATTAAACTTGTTGGAAAGTTTGGTGATGAAAACCAGAGGCAGTGAACAAACAACTCCACAGTTGCATTAAAGAGGCCAGTTGTGATGCGTGCGTGTGTGTGTGTTTTTTTTTTAAAATAAGTTAAACACTAACAACTTTACTTATACTCTTGAGTCAGAGTTCAAATCTCAGAGGTGTTGTTTCCATGAATGGGGAAAGATGAACCTGGGTTCTCTCCAGTCTGTTCACACTGGACCTGCTGAGTCGTAGTAAGCTGATTATTATGACGCATTACACTGTGTCTGATATTGAGCAAAGGTTTTACCCAGGACTCTGTGCACTCGTGCACAAAAATGTATAGAATTATGGGTTCGCGACAGCAAGAAAACATGGAAATGTGACACTGTTCCTGAATATTAATGAAATTTATTTTATGATTTCAAACCTTAGTCACAATGTCACTGCAACACATTATGAGTTTTAGCATGTCGGCCACTAAAACCGCACATCAAGTTTGAGCCTAGATAACAGTAGAAATGCATCCAACAGGTCAAAAACCCATTTAATTAATTAGACTATTATTATTATTATTATTATTATTATTATTATTAAGACCATTTATTTTAAGAACATCATCACTAGCCCATGATATAGATTCATTACAAAACGGTGGATGCTTGAAAGCCTTTCTGTAAATTACGACCATTTTCCACTTATAGCTAAAGAAAGTGGAAAATTTCATTAATTGTAATGACATTTTCAGAATTAGAATACGTAATTTTAAATATTCTAATTTAAAATTTGAATATTGCATCACACCAATAAAGAAACTATTTTTAAAAGTAGAAATGTGGGCTTATGGAATAGCATGTTTAATACCTTCTTCAAGGCAGCTGAAGTATCAAAAACAAATATTGCATCAAGTTAGACATTTGCCTAATTGTAATGCTGCACACATTGCTGTTCTGATGACAACGGCAATTCATTATATTTTGCAGCTCTATAAAAAAAGTTATGTTTTGAGCTGATTAATCTGACCTGAGCTTGGAAGCCCTAACTTCTTTTCTTCTTCCCCTGAGCTGGTTCTCAAGCTTTTACCACCCTGTAACTGCAAAACACGATGCTTAAATCCTCACATCGCCATTGTGACAAATGCATTTTACATTTAAACTGCAGTCTGTAAAAATGCAACTAACCCCAGGTCTCGCAGCCAACAGAGTACATGCACAATCTGGAGTTGTGCGCGCTTCACCCACATTGGGAGAAGTGAGCTACTCTGCAAAGAACGCAGCACATCCAGATCTTGATGTGCAGCTGAATTTGCTACTTTGTGTTGTAGGGAGAGAAAGTTGTTTGGTGCTTGGTGAGACCTTCTCTGTTACAGCCAAATGAAGTGTACTGAGCTGTTAATGTACCACTACAGACAGTGCAAAGCGCATCTATTTACTGGAGGATTTTTATTGTTGTGGTGAAAAAAAAGGCCTCAACAAGACACAGATTACACAAAAAAGCCTTCAAACAAGAGAAATGGATTATATCTCACTCCCAGTGAATGTGCCTTCTCCTGTCCCTCCACAACGTGAGCCCCGTGTATGTTTCTGAAAGAGTCACAGTCGTTGGTGGGAGGCATAGGGGTGGTAAGGTCACAGGGCTGTCTTACCTTCTTGTTCTGCTCTGTGGGTCTATCCATAGACTGTGAGGAAGAGTCACTTAAGCTTTGAGACCTACTACCACGGCCCCTGCTCCTTCGCTAAAAAGTAAAGAGGACTCCAAGTTACTGGACGGAACTCCACAGAGGAAAAGAAAAAGCCTAACTGTTGATTTAAAAAAAAAATTGAGATCAAACGGAAAATGATAGGAATGAACTAAAAGAATTTGACTTAAATTATGGACAAAAATGACAAAATCAGGCAAAGAAACCATTTTTTTTTGTTGTTGTTGTTGTTGTTGTTTAAAAGTTGCCATGTGTCAGGTTCCCTGTTGGGGGAAAAATAGAGTACCGTGGCAGTAGGTGTTCATATGAAAAAAAAACGTTTAATTTTCAGGTCAAAAATCACCAAAAGGAAAAAAAAAAAATTTCTTTTTTTTTTTTTGATTGCAGTAAAAGATGTGTTTAGTTTCAGGAAATCGTTGTGTAATTAATGCAAGAAATGACGGCAAGACAACAGTATCTAGGTTTATAGCACAACTGAGAGAACTGACTTGAACCACTCTTGGATCTTGTTCAAAGGCTAGTTTCAAAAGTTTTGGGACAAAGCTTGCTGCTCCCGGCCTTAAACATGCCCAAAAACAACTACTGCTTCCCAGACCTCCCCAGTCCAGGAGAATATGAAAGGTGGTGCATCTATATGTGCTTTTTCAATACCAAGAAACAGGAGTAAAACAATTCATACAGGATGAAAATTGAATTCACTGTACCTGAGAGCAAAGCAGATTAATCATAATTTAAAATTAGGTTTGCAGACCACATCCAGTCAAACACTATATGTTACTAACATGGCGTAAATATCCATCAAGAGCCATCTTATGAAACCCATTCTGTTGACAGCGTCGTTGTTGTTGTTTTTTTTTCCTGTCATTAATTCCCCCACGTACATTCCTGTCATCCAGGCAGTCCAACCGTAATGACATTATACCCCAGCATCCAAAGCAATTCATATACGATCAATGTAATCAATGTGCCAGCATGAGTCTTTCCATCAGCATTCGTTAACACTGGAAAATGTCGCCTGTATGGACGTGTTTGTGCACAGGAGCCTCAACTCTATTCAGCCATCGCTCCGCAAATCAGCGTGGTACAGGCTCTTCGTTGTCAGAGACACTCGACTCCCTGCCCCCAACCGATGCTTAGCAGACATGTGTGACCAGGGCGGTGAGAGTGAGACAAACACAACAGTTGATCTTTTCAGTCCATGTGCGAACGGCAAACAAGTGTTGAATTTTGTTGTCTATTTTCTGTTGGTATATTTACCTATTCTTATTGCTTTTGGACCTGCATTCAGTCTGACAACAAATAGATGTCCTAAAACAGAGATTACGTATGGCTGTGGTCGTGCAAAAGGAGCCGATAATTTGCAGATTGTGAAGGCTGGTGAAATGTAAGCTAATAACAAATCGCTTTCAAATTTTAAAATGTGCTAAGTTTCAGCAAAAAGGACTACTCGAGTCTGAAACCTAAAACCGAGGTTAGCATTTTTCAACATATATAAATTAAGGGGAGTAGTGTAATAATAGATAGGAAATAGAGGGAGAATGGGAGGAACAATGGCAGGTGGAGAGGGACAGAAGAATTGAAACCATATTAGAAAGAAAGAAAAAAAGGAGTGTAATGATGGTTTCTGTGAAGCACAGTAAAAGTATTGGAGAGACCAAAGATAGGAAGCAAAAGAATGTCTGGAGGAGATAACAAAAAAAATGGTTTTAAACAGAACAGAGCAGTGTTAAAGGAAGGACAGAAGAGAAATGGAAGCAAAAAAAGTAATAACAAAAGCAGAAGCAAAACAAAAATCAACATGTGTGCTGCTTTCGATACATCAGCACACACATGGGGACTGAGAAAGCACAAGTGGAAGTGTTGATGATCACTATTTGAAATGAATTTATGGCAACTAATTAAAGAAAATGCTTTATCAGCTCAGCATAGAAGAAATAAGAGTATAATACAGAAGAACCGAGAAATTTCTAAGTCAAAGATTTACGCAGCGGTGACATCCTGCTTAATTTAGTAGAACTATTTTTTAAATATACATGCTAAGACATAATCACTTCCTGTTATTTGGCCCTTTAAGAGGATCACTGCAAGGTGATTTTAGCAGGTTAATTAGCCAGAGTATTGTCACATGTAGCTGATCTGCAGTCTGCTATAGCATTTCAAGAAAACACTACCATAATTACACAAGATGGGCAGCACTCCTTCAGATTTCACACCGTGACCTTTCGCTCATTCAGCCGACTGCCTTCCTCGTAACCAAGAGAAATATGTACGAGAAAAGCACATTTGTAAGAAGAAATATGAAATTAATGAGGTTGGTTTCTGTAACAAAGGAAAACTCTTTGCCTCAGAATTTGTCTTCGGCTTAATTATCCTGAGCTTTAGGTGGAAAAAAAAAAAAAAAAAAAAAAAAGATGTGTGCGCTCATCAAAACTGAGTCTCTCGGAAAGGTAATCTACTACACTGCTCTCCACAGAAGTCTAGTTTGAATTAAAGAAAGAAAAAGAATACTTTACACTCGTTATTAGTGGCTGAATGTATACAAAGGCAGATGACTGCTGACCTAGACCGACCGTTTAAATCGAGGAGAATTTTAAATCCAGTGTGGTGTGAAATTGTGTGTTGGTATATAATAAAAGGCATGCAATCATTATATTAAGGCACTTACCAGTTTGCTGTGGTGGTATTTGCAGTATCCACAATACTTGACGTTATCTGCATCAGAGCCTTGTTCTTCACATAACAGTCCTGCAAACTGGGCACTGTGGAGGCAGAAGATGGGAAAAAAAAGAAAAAAAAGAATAGGGTTTGGTGTTAGAAAATGCACTATATCCCCAAAACTTTACATATATTTTAGGCAATATTAGAAAATGTATGCAAAACTTATGTCGAATAAGCTGACAGAGAGAAAACTTAATGGGTTTTTTTTTTGCAAAAACTAAAAAATGTCCATGTGCTTTTAAGCAGTTGAGCTGCTGGAATTGTGTTAAACAAAAAAAAAAACTAAATTCCCATGACATTTCCTTAGCTCAACATGTCATAAAGGTTATCACACAGCTGAGGAGAAACATGGAGCCCAGAGTAAAAGTGTGGAGCAGGAAAACGCTGGTGGCCAATGAGTTGGCTCCCACGCACGCCGCCTCACCATGTGACATGGAAGGCCTGTCTGCAGCCGTGCTTGTTGCAGGTCATGCAGGCTCCGGTGGCGGCTTTACTCTCTCTGCCCTGCTCTTCGCAGATGTAACATGTCTGCACACAGAGCGACCAAAGTTCATAGTAGGAAACAAAAAACTTACATTTTCACATTTTAAACTGTGCAAGTTTCCTGCGGTATGTCTACCTTGTTGTAGCGTTCATGGGGGACAGACTGTAGAACTATTGGCTCCATGGTGGAAACGTTGGCGAACTCCACTTCAGGGATGTACAGGGCACAAACCACGTGGGCCCAGCCTGAAAACATCCACGAAGAATAAACATACGCCTGTTTTGAAAATATTAACCACGTGTAACAAATTCTGCATATATATATATGTATATAAAACATTTGATGTTTGGATTTATTTCATCCATTTCTTGTAACTTGTGAATTTAAAGCAGGAGGAAATAAATACACAGGAAATGTAGTGACTTCTATGAGTTCAACAAAGACTTAACTTTTCAGAGGGAAAAACCAAGCCAACAAGTGGACAGTAAAGAAATACGCATTTAAACAGCTTAAAATTTCCAGCTTAAGATTTCTATAATTTGAAGTCTCAAAGAAAGTGTTGTACTGACCAGGTTGCACCTATTTCTGCAGTCCAATCCTATCCCCTGCTCAAAGTAAAGATTTTGCTGGCTCTTCTGAAAACCATAGCATAGAAACCATAGAAGCTTTTTTTTTTTTTTTTTACAAGCTTTATAGACTCTCAGTTAAATTCATTGTAGACCAGAGAAACAAGAGATGAACTGATCAAGCTTTTTCTGGCTGAAAACAAATTTTAGGTTTTCTTAGAGCCCTTGATTCACATTGTTTTATTTTATTATTATTTTAAGAACAACAATACATGCAAGAGGAAAATTGACTGCTGCAGATTTTCTGGTAGTCTGGTCATTTGTGACAGATTATCCCCACTTATGAATATAGCAGACAGTATATCCTTAACATCTATCCTGTTTTTTCTTTCTTTTTTTTATTAAAAATGTGCATCAAACGGCATCATGCACTCAGTTGAAGCACTGAATAAGAAGAAAAAACATGATCAGATTTTTTAGTATTTGACTTACAGTTCACATGAGAGTTGATAGCAGAAAATTTGCCCATTAGTTGAAGTATCTCCAGTAATATCCTGCACATTAACAATTTTTACTTACAAACTGCTACCAAATTGAACTCCTACCAAATTCAACAAGTCTTTTTTTCCTACATTTTAGTCAAGCCTTCCAACATTACATGTGTTGAAATAATCTGTCTGAAATACACTCTAAATACAATCTTGTTTTTAAAACTGAAGTAAAATTTAATCCTTAATATTTAAAACATGCTTAGCTTAAAGATTTTGTGGTAACACTTTATTTGAAGGGGGTTGAATAAGACTGTCATGACACTGTCATAAACATGACATAACACCTGTCATGAACATGAATAAGTCTTCATGAATATTTATGACTGTTGTCATAAAGCGTCATTCGGTAAATTATGACATTTTTAATACAAAGTTGACATTATTCAAAATGTCTTTGTTATGACAACGTGACATTAACCAAGAAATCATTACTGTTTAAACTTTACCTTTAATAACATAAAGATACCTAATTTTTAAAGTGCAATCAGTAATACTTTTATAACAAATTTATATCAGCAATGATTTCTTGGTTAATGTCAAGTTGTCATAACAAACACATTTTGAATAATGTCAACTTTGCATTAAAAGTGTCATAATTTACCGAATGACGCTTTATGACAACAGTCATAAATATTCATGAAGGCTTATTCATGTTCATGACAGGTGTTATGTCATGTTAATGACAGTGTCATGTCAGTCTTATTCAACCCCCTTCAAATAAAGTGTTACCGATTTTGTTATTTTTAAACTGGGACTGTTCTGCTGTATCTTTTAATTCTTTGTGTGTGTCTACTTATCAATATCCAATTAACAACAGAAACTGTTTTAGATGTGCCCTTAAATAATTATTATTTTAGTAGCAGTTAGAACTGTTTTTTTTTTTTTTTTTTTTTTTTTTTTTTTAACAAAAATAAACACATTTTTTTTTATATTTTTAAAAAAT